GTCTATCCGAAAGGGTCACGACTTACTTCTCAAACGCTACAAAATGTATGACTACTGTTGCTAAAAAACTTACTTCAGAGAAATGAATCTTAGAAGACCTAAATCCAAAAAGCCACCGCTAGGAAAATATGTAACCAATAGAATTTTAAATTTTTACGAATGTGAAGAAAACAGTGAAGTAATGCCTGGGAAAAAAATCTGCGTATCCTTACAAATTGACGGATAAAGAACACAAATGCGAAAACGGTCCATTCTAAACAATTTGAAGGAGTTGCATACACCTTTCAAACTCAACCATCCAGACCTGTAATGTAGTTTTTCAAACATTGCGTTCTTGCAGGAGCAAGCGGCACACATTCAGTTTGTGTGTGCTCCATACACGAAAACGTACGATTAATGGTATATGGAGTGAATATAAAAGCACTGACTTCATGTAGTAGAAAGCCGATAAATAACTATAAAGATTGCCTACAGCGCATGACTTGCAATACTTCACGCACAGAATGTTTTCTAGCCAAATTTCTTGGAAGTGACATTATCAATGAACAACTTCTGGATATATTTGATGACACCGTTAAATACAAACAATGGGATCGTGAAAAGAGAAGTACATTAAAAACGTTGATATCCCAAATAGACGAATATTTGTAATCCTTAACAGATGGTTTAAACAAATTGCTGTTGCATTCTTTTATTGTTAACAAACAGGCAGAGGTTTTAAATGATAAGAAAAACAACTTAACAAAAACTGAATGCATAGTTTTGCGTGATTTTTCCGAAAATTATGCTTTTGTTGTTCAAAACTCTGTTCAAGGTATTCATCCGTTTGCAATATACCACCGTGATGAAAATAAAAAACTACAAATAAAAAATTTCGTCTGCATATCTGACTGTTTACATCACAACACAACTGCTGTACATTTGTTCCAAAAATACGCGATCAAATTCATTAAAAAAATTAATACGGATATCAAAAAAATTATATATTTTTCCGATGGATCGGGTTCACAATACAAAAATAAAAAAATTTTATTAATTTAACTCATCACAAAGTGGACTTTGGTTTGGAAGCAGAATGGCACTTTTTTCCAACGACACACGGCAAAGGACCATGCGACGGCTTAGCTGGTACCTTAAAGAGGAATGCTGCAAGAGCTAGCCTTCAACGAATAAATAACCCAATCCAAACACCAAAGGAATTATTTAACTGGGCTAAGGAATGTTTACCAAATATTGTGTGCCATTTCTCAACGTTAAAAGACTATGAAGTAGAAGAAAATAAGATTAAACACCGCTTTGAAGCAGCTACATCAGTTAAAGGCACATTAAAATATCACTGTCTTATTCCAAATTCCAAAAAAGTATTAATGGCAAAAACATTTTCTTCTTCAGACATTACAGATTATGTATCAATAATGAAATAAGAATTAATAAAATGTAAAAACCATAAAAAAAATATTTTGTTTTTAGCTCCATACAGTTTCTTTCCTATAACATTTCTTACCTGTGCAGAGTATTTTTCCAACAGTAGCAAAATAACACTTCACCGAAAAAGGTATGTGTGATTATTTGCTGCAGTTTTCTAGGTAGATCAGCTAGTATGAAACTAATTAACTTTTTAATTCACCTATATAAGAAAAAAGTTTATTAAACGGTTTAACTATGTTAAAATTCATAATTTAAAAACAGAAATGATGCGGAACTAATTTAAAATGTTATGTTTATGTATACATTTATTTTAGAAATAAAAAGTAAAAGTTTTTGTATAGTTTTCCTTCGAAAATTGATTTCATGGTACTTTGGTGCGTATGAGTAACGTGAAGGACACCTGATTAACTAATTTTTTTTAATTACTTCTAAAATGAATATCACAGTCGAAATATTTATTTTTGAAGTAGAATTTATATATTAATTTGAATCAAAACTAAAAAAAAAAAATTTTTGTGACATATGCCTTTTTTTTTTTTAACTGAAAAATCGTGTGTATGTATTTGGTGTGATATGAAAGATAAATAAATTTTTAAAAGTACTTCTAATTACAATATCGTCCTGAAATTTTTGGGTTTTATGTAGAATTTTATTACTAATCGAAATCAAAAATATTATATAAGAATATATGTAATATATTCTTTGAAAATTCATTCAATAGAAATGTAGTATGCATGTGCATGATGTGTTTTGCGAGAGAAAAAAAATATTAA